AAAAAATAAATAAAAATATTTGGTTGACATGAATTGCATTGGCATTGAATTAAAATGATAAACTACATTGTTTGGTTGGAGTGAATTGCAATTCCACTCAATTCATTGAATTGCAATTCATAGGTCCCCCATATGAATTGCAATTTATCTATACAACAAAAAAAAAAAAAGGGAAAAGAGAGGAAATGACATATCTGCCCTTGAATGTTATTATTAATATTATTACACAAGGGTATTTTAGTCTTTGTATCACTTCTCCCATTTCCATTCCGAATAATTTTATTTTTAATATATATTGGATTCAATGAGACCCCTATGTTAAATGAGATCATGAGATCTCATCTCACCCATTAAAACATTTTCAATTGATGGTTAAGATTGAAAGAGAAATATAATCTAATTAAGGACATTTTTAAAAGAGAAGGATTAAATAGTCATTGGTTAGAATTAAAGTGTGATCTTTAGCATGATATGCGATATCATATTAATGGAAATCACATGTATTAATTTGAATAGATGGATGATGAAGTAATAACGTGAGTACACTCGGTTGTAATCCACAACATTTCAGACATTGCAAATGGATGGTAACTACATAGGTATGTACTTTTGTACTGTTTTTTAAGGCCATTTTTTTCGACGGTGTGTGCGTTATAACATATTATCGTGGGCACGTTGCTGAATCTGTGTGTTAGAGAGCACTATTGTGCTGATATAATGTTTTATTAGGCGTTTATTTGAATGTGCAACATTGTGTGAAATAACGTAACTAGACTTTGACATGCCATTATTATTAAAGGTTTTTTTTTTTTTTTTTAATAATTGTTTTAGTTTTAAAATAAAAGTTTTGTGGACTGGTAAGTATTTTTTTCGGTAGTGTGTGCGTAGATGTGGTATGGCGGTAGTATACTATAAGGATGGGGGCTGTGATTTTTTTTTACACTCGTAACCAAAATGTTTATGGGGTGTGTGCGTGATAACTTGTAGTTGGTTTGTTTTATAAGGAATATATTTTAAAAAGTAATAGTCCTTTTTATTTTAGTATGCTCAAGAGAAAATTTGTTTGGTGATTTGTGCGTGATTGTGCAAAGTGAGTAATGGCGTGTGTTTTAAGAAAAAAAGTGCGCGTAACATCAGCTTGGTGTGTGCATAACACTGAATGGATGGGAAGCCAAGAAAGAAACATTATTAACAATTAATAGCCCCCTCGCACACACACTCAACACCTATAACACACACACCACCGAAAATAGCAATTTTGGTATAAAAAAAAATTCAATATCCCCAACTCTATAACATGCACACGCCATACCACAATTATGCGCACACACCACCGTACATTACCACTCAATTGCACAAAAAAAAAAAAAAAAAAAAAAAAAAAAAAAAAAAAAACCCAAGGAATAGTACACTTTCAATTTTTTTTCTTAAAAACAAAACATAAACAAAAATTGATGAACACACCTAATATTAATGATTTTAAAAAAAATAAATAGCAATGCCCCATCCATAAAATTTTCACACATCATATCACATAGAAGCAGACACCATCTTAAAGACGCAACGTGCACACCAATGCACACACCCACTTCATTCATGCACCCACCAACGAATAACAATTAACTAACAAAATAAATATGAAAATCAGATTCGTATGGTGCATTGGTGTTGGATACGTTATGCACACGCTCCAAAGAAGTAACGCACATACCAAAACACAAAATTGTGGAAAAAAAAGAAGTTCATCATGCACACGCCAATAAGTACATAGCACAAACACACACACCCACGTACGTATTAATCCATCTCAGAATTCAAAATATAATTAATTATTTAGATTAATAGGATCTCTTGTATTATGGTAAATATTATATTTTAATTATAACCAAAATTAAACACCATAATACAATTACTCTTTCACCATTTTCTTTTAAAACTATCCTTAATTAATGCTAGTTGACTTTTAATCGTATCATTCCATTCTAACTTTTTTAATGGTTGAGATGAGATCTCATTATCTCATCTTATTAGGTGATCTCACTGGATTCGCACCCTATATATATATATATATATATATATATATATATAGGAAACCGGTTGAAACTGAAAAAATAACAAAAGAAAAATATAAAAAGATAAAAATTGTAACACCCATAATTTTTAAAACATTTAAAACTTATGAAATAAAGGCGAATCTATCATTATTACCCAAACAGAGCCGTAGCTAAGCATAAGAGTCAGGGAGCTATGGCACATCTAGGTTTGAAAACCTAGATGCATAGGCTACACTAGCTAAACAAGTATAATCCGAAAATCAATATTTAATAGAATTCAAGGCACACAGACCATCTAACTAATACTAGAGCTATCTAAGCTAAATTCACGAGTCCAACTAGCGCGCTCTGAAGTTACTGGTCAGTACCTGAAAAACATATAGTGTAACAACCATTAGCGAGTAATGCTGGTAACCCACTCCCACGCGTTGAGTACAATATAGGCAGATATAAGAAAACCATTTTGAGACTGAGGAATACGTATATAGTCCTAAACAACTCTAGCTTTAAAACCAAGATCAAGATCAAGATACATTAACAGACTTGACACCAGAAGATAACATAAAGATACTAGCATGCAACCTAATTCCACAAAATAAGACAATAACAAGACTCAACAACAAACCAAGATGACAACAAGACTCAACAATGATCAACAATAACAATAAACATGTCCATGTTCCAACCTTATACCAAGTTCCGACCTTCACGCCTCTCCAACCTTATTTTAGTTCCAACTTGTACCTACAGGCCACCCTTATATCGCCTCCCTTATCCCTCTGGAGCACTCATGCTCCCCACCGACATACCGCCAACAAGATCACCGATCTGATAGCACTGCAGTACCATTAACACATGATCAGTGCTTATAGCACACTAATCAAGGGGTCAGTGCCTATAGCACAATGACATGGCACCACAGTGCCAATAACTTGATCTATGCCTTTAGCACACTAATCAAGGGGGGTCTATGCCTATAGCACAATGACCAAGCACTCGTTGTGTCAAACCGCCAACAAATCTTTTCCACCAATCACATCTCTTTTCTCATCATGGACAAATCAATCAAAACAACCAATGCTCAATGATAACAACAACCAGCAACACTCAATCAACAACAGTAATCAATACTCAACAATAACAACAATCAAAGCTCAACAACAACAATAACCAATACTCATCAACACATAGCAATGGGGTAGTCAAAGGGAAGGGCACGCGACCACGTAGACCTTCATCAGCAGTTGACATCAATACAAGCACACAATCCACGAGACACGGCCCAAACCCTACTTCCCAAGATAACAAGACAACCACGAGGCACATATGAGATCATACAAATCTCATCCTAGGTCAACGGAGTATTAACTTAAACCGCATGCAATAACCATGACTCACGACTACTAAAACGGCACCCGAAACATCAAACGAGACTCATAAACATCAAACAGGGCACAACGGGGCACGGGAAAATGACAAACGGGGTAAAACAGCACAACACACCGCCCGTACCAGCGAGTACACGGCGGGTGATCGTCCACCCGCCGGCCACCCGCTGGTACAGTGGACGGGTACTGGCGAGTGGTCAAGTGGGGATTCGTCCCCCCACCGACCCCCCACTGGTACGATGGTAACTTGGCACTTTCCCAACCCGGGAATTCCTCAATTACACCCAAAATCAAGTCCAAATACACTCCAACACATAACAACAACAATAGGGACTTAAACACCAAGAATTAGGCCAAGAAACCAACACAATTAAATCCTAAATACATGTTCCTATCATATCAAGACTCAAGAATTAACTCCTAATCATGCAAGACCAACGAGGACCTCAAGAACATCAAGACTCTATCAAATAAACCCAAATTTCAAGCTCTAGACATGCCTAAACGCAAGATCATACATATAATCAATCACGAACATCAAGATCATCAAGATTATCAAATAAACACAACATAAATCCTAAGCAAAGCTCTACTAAGACTCAATCACAAGATCACACATACAATTATCAAATGAGCCAATAATTAAGATATAGCAAGGAAAATATGTTTTTTAAGACATGAGTTACCTCTTAGCCTTAGTTAAATCTTCCTTAGCTCCCACGGTCCCTTTCCAAGATTTTCCTCTCAATTGATCTTACTAGGCTTGGTGATGGGAAATTGCCTGGCTAGGTTTCTAGGGGAGATTTTCATGTGATATAGTTATGGATGAGAAGGGTTCTAATTGTTTTCTAATCCCCTATTTATAGAGTTTGGAATCCTAATTAGAATTTGAATAGTAAAGACCTACTTTCTTTATTCCTAACAGATGTATAGGTCTAGGATTACTAATTAGAATCTGAATAGTAAAAGATCTACTTTCTTTATTCCTAATAGGCTTAGGGTCTTTAATATAGACAAGGGTCCACGGTCCTCCGTGAGCCACATTAATTACATAGGGATTCTGACCAGATTAAATCCTTTTTAACTATTCTTGGCGGGATTAATTACATAATTAATCCGGGTTTGAAGATCGTAACACGGGGTGTTACAAAAATGCCCTTATTAAAAATAAAAAAAGTGATGAGAAAGACTTAAAGTATCCAAAAAAATGATAATTTAGGATGTTAAATGGCAAAAATAATAGTCTATGACTAAATATGAAATTGCCACAAAAAAAACAAGGGACTTTGGGTGGAATTTAATATATATATATATATATATATATATATATATATATATATATATAATACACACACACCATACTTGTAAGTTATAAAAAGTAGAATGCGAAAGTTTAACACAAATATAATGTAATATAATAAACTCAATGAAGAAAATATAGTAAGTAATGATTTTGTGGTCTAGTGGCACCAAGTTGTTCTTTCATATGTAAGGTTGTGGGTTCGAACTTGAGATGGGATTGACTCTTTGTGCAACTGAAATTTACAGAATTTATATATATATGCATGTCATTATTATTATTATTATTATGTTTAGTACCTCGTACATGTAATAGTAATACAATAATAATAGCACCACATGTTGATATGGTACGGTTTTCATGCACCAAATTCCATTCCTATATTACACATGCTCGCTGGGAGAAACCCACAATATAATAAAACCTGTGGGGGATTTAGCAATTAATTAACCTCGTACGGCAGTCCATGACGAGATAACCTTTTCACAAATACTGTATACAGTAAGTTAAGCTCGTAGATCATCACGAAATGCAACATGCATTAGGGTTTTCGTCGGAGAAGATCTGAGGCGCCGGCGGGATTCTTTCAATGTAGTAAAGCGGCTGATAATAGTACATCATCTTATGCATGCCAGCCGCTGCTTCTTCGCTTACACTCTCTTCTTCTTCCGCTTTCGCCTCCTCTTTCTTCTCTCCCTCCGCCGCCGCCGCCTTTTCGCCTTCCTCTTTCTTCTCTTCCGCCGCCGCCGCCTCCTCTGCAGGCTTCTCTTCTCCGGCCTTCTTTTCCTCCGGCTTGGGTTCCTCGGCCGGCGGCGCCTTTTCAGGCTCAGGCTCAGGCTGAGGGACGATCTTCGCTTGCTTTTTGGTGCGCCGGTAGACGTAGTCTACTAGCTTGTCGGCGTCCATGGTCCCGGTCACCGTCACCTTACCGGAGGCTAGTTCGGTTTCTGCTGTTCTCACTCCTGCGTTATTGTGTTGTGTGAGGTTGAAATACATGATTAAATTAAAGGACTTTACGTGACGTTATTAGTTAATTAATTGTAATACATCCCTTTTTTGGTGACGAGGAAAATTCACTGTCACTATCTTAAGAATATGCCTGTAAACTCAGGTTTGTGGTCTTAACGACAAAAGAATACAATGAGGTAAACCAATCTAAGTTGTGACCACTTCAAACTAAAAAGAGTTAGATTCGAATTCGAATTTCTATAGTTAGTCATTTTGGCTGGAGTTACTCCTTCTCCTCTCAAAAGGTTGAATTCCAACCCCAATAATTTCTCACACTCCGACTAGACAAAGCATTCAGGATGATATAAATTAGGGTGAATTAATAGTTCTGTAGACAGTTAAATACTGGGATCTGCCCACTTTAAATATACTCTCAATGCATTTTTATTTTTGCTATATCTTGATACATTTTAAATATAAAATTAAACAAATATTAAAATCTTTACAATAATATACCTTTCATTTTGAGTATCTTGCTTTTAAGCTGCTGGGCACAAGCCTCGCAATGCATGTTGACAGTAAGTTCCACAGTAGTCAATCCACTAACCTGAAAGAGTAAAATAATTTTTTTTATTTAAATATAAAATAATAATAATAAATAAAGTAATAGCAGTTGCAGTTAGTGACAGTAAATAAAATAAATTACCTGGGAGGCAACAACTTCGGGTATAGGTTCACCCTCAGCAGCCGGTAAAGGTGACAATACCTTTGCAACCCTCTTTGTTTTCTTTGTAATCCTCTTACAAATTGCTTCCGGCTCTACTACCCCTTTTATTGTCACTTCATTTTTAGCCATGTCTATCACTACCCCTTCAACACCTGCATATATGCCACATTTTCTTAAATTAAAAATCAATTTATGATTTTGAAATGAGATGATCCAATGACTAAACCAAAAGATTATATTTGTTTGGGTGACGAGGAAAATCCACAGCTACTATTCAAGATGTTTTGAAATGATATGATCCAATAACTAAACGAAAATATATTTTTTTTGGGTGAATAGGAAAATCCACAATCATTATTTGAAGGTGTGGGCTGAATAAGCCTGAGATAAACTAGCACAGTGGGTATGTACGGGGTAAATCCGAGATAAACCAGCATAGATTGTCCATAGCTGACTGGCCCAAATCCCTTTTTTGTTTGATGAGAAATGTGAAGCAAAAAAAAAGAAAAAAAGAGATCCCCCATTGAGAATTCAATTATGCTCCCTGTCCCCCTTTTCACGGAAAATGGGGAGATGAATTTATACATTTATTGAATCCGTCTGACTGACCGGGCTTGAACCCGCAGCTTTCGCCTTGACAAGGCAGTGCTCTAACGGATTAAATTACAATCCCAGAAAAATTAGAATTCAAACTCGTGACCTTGGTGTTGTTACAAGTTTATATCGTTAGCCATCTTGGCTGGGTTACCCGAACGAGCTGGTATGCCTGGTTGTATTTGATACAAAAATTTGTAATTGTAGGTTTTTGGGTTTATAAATGAACAATATACATACCTCTAATTTTCAAAATGGATCTCTGAATCTTCTTAGCACATCCCATACAATGCAAGTCCACATAGAGGACAAAAGGTGGGGGAGGCTTAGGAGGCTCTTCTTCCTCCTTTTTCTCTTCTTGATCTGCTGCACCGCCTTTCTCTTCCTTTTTCTCTTCTACTTTCTCTTCCTTTTTCTCCTCTACTACTTTAACCTCTCCCTCAACTGCTTCCTGCTAATATTAAATAAAACTACACATTTCTCAGAAACAATAAGTACTTAAAATGGATCATTATCTATCCTATCCATTATGAATGAATAAATCAAAGAAAACCCGAATAACTTAACCTGTTGTTTAACTTCTTCGCCCATTTTGCAACTACTGATGTGAAGATGTATGCTTAGTGAGGAAGGGAGAAGCAGAAACTGAATTTATACCAAAAAAAATGAGAGTATAAAGGGGTGGACGGTGGGATTATTAGGCAAAAAAGCTAATTAAGTTTGTGGGATGGATGGCAGAGCACATGCAGAACAACCAAGTATGGAGACAGAGAGAGAAAGAGAATAGTTAATTGTTTGTTGTTTATACTGTTAAGGAGTGAAGAAGTAGGAGGGGGATTCCAAAGGGGTGAAGGCTGCCAATTTATAGGGAGAAAGCTGATGAGAAGAAGATACATAGAGAATTTAATTTGATGATGAAATGAGATACCAGGCCCGCATGGACAGCTCAACTGGTTGTGAAGTTTGGAAAGAATGATCAGGAATCGAGTCTCATCCCGCGGCAGTGTAGGAGCAACCTCTCATCTCAAAGTGAGGGATTCAGTTGAGTTATCATGATTTACATCCTCCCAGATGCTTTGTCTGGTAGGGGTGTGGGAGACCCTTAAGGTTGGGGTTTAATCTTTTGGAAAGAATGAAATGAGATACGGAATATTTCTTTTAATAATAATTTGTAAAGTTGTGGCTGGCTGGCTGGCTAAGCTAGCTTTCTAAATAAGAGAGGTTTGTTTGTTTGTGTTACCCTATGCAGCATCGCAATCACCAACCTAATCACATGTTTTGCCTTAACTTTATGCCTAAACCATTAATTAGAGGCTCACAAGTGTACTACATTCAAAAAGCAGGTACCTGATGAGTTATATCATCTCATTTTATCAATCATATCTATCATATATATGGAAGAATAAGCATCAAATAAGCTATTAAACTGCACACAAAACTGCATACCTACTTTTGAGTAATGACTGCAGGTTTTCTTGTCACTTAAGAAAATGCAATTAACCGATCAAATAAGTTAAAATTATTGTACAATTATACCAAAAAAAAAATTTAACACCCAATTTAGTCATTGACTATAGTGGTTTTTTGAATTCAGTTCTAAATGACTTTTTATGCTTAATTGGGTCCCGGACATCGATGGTTTTACCTAATTGAGTCATCTATTAGGATAACTTGATAATTTTCTATCTATTAATTCTATAGTAGTTGTACGCAATTTAGTACTCGACTATAGTGATTTTTCTTGATTTAGTTCTTGATTCTAACGGTCAACGGATGAGAAAAATTACTATAGTCTATAACTAAATTAAGTATTAACTCTATACAAAAATAAAATATTTTACTCGAAAGCTACGGCTGACTTATTTATTTAAAAAAAAATTATTTAACAATTTTGTCCATGTAAGCAAATTTCGAAATAAAGAATAATTTTAATAAAGCTTCATCTCATAAGAAACTTCACCTGAAACAAAATATCAGAGAAGCATCATTTTCAGATGAAGTTTCACCTGAGACGAAGTCTTTCATTTGGGAGCTAGACTTGTCCTAGATTGGAGATTAGCCCGACCCTAAACTCATGGAATCTTTGTTACAATATAGCATCTATTTATACATATTTTTTTATATACTGAATCACAAAGAGTCAATATCTTATGTCGTTCAATAATCACGAAGTCTTTAATAAAAAAATATTATTATATTTTTCTTTAAAAGTATTATATATATATATATATATATATATATATATAATATTACTCAAAATCAATCGAATAATAATTAATAGTAAAAGGTTGGGAATGTAGATTGGTGGAACAATTAACTTAAGATTAGGCTAATTAAGCACGTACGTAGCAGCATGCATGACTGCATGTTATGTTTAAAGAAGATCAGATTCTGCATTGAATTGGTTGACAAGAAAAGGACTGCACATACCATCTCTCTTCAACCCATCACCCATCCCAATATCACATTTTCCACTATTATTTATTTTTTATTATTATTATTATTATTATTATTATTATGAAAAACCATTATTTTGATTTCTCGATTGTTTCTCAACTGTCCATGTAGTTCATAGTTTTTAATTTCAACCAATTTGATCATCGAATTGTTTAAAATTTCGTCAATTAAACCATTCTAGAGACCAAATTAATAAAATTTTAAAAATGTGAAGAGCACCATTTTGGTTTCTGGAAGGATTTAATTGACGAAATTTTAAACTGTTCATCGACCAAATTAGTTGAAATTGAAAATTAGGGACTACATTGATAGTTGAGAAAAAAATGAGGGACCAAAATGGTGGTTAACTCTTATTATTGTTGTTGTTGTTGTTAACTTATTATTATTGAGGTTAGCTTTCTGTGCAAATCCGTCGGCTAAAAAGAATATTAAATAAAGAACAAAGATCAGTTTGGAATCTATTAAATGAAACCGTATTCTAAATTATATAATTTTTTTACTCATATAGTCATATTGAATAGGCTAATTATTTATGAATAATGAATTATACAATATAAAATTGATGTAAAATACTTAATTATGTAAAGTTGATAATCATTTACCAAATTAAATATTCAGTAATTAATTCATTCATTAATTTTTTTAAAAAAACAAATTCATTTATTCATTTAACCTCAAAGATTTATCTTCTAATTGATAAAAGCTTTGAAATCCAAAGTTTAGAGAAAATGATCGAAGGATTAGATGTTATCGAGAGTAATAATCTTAATAAGAATTATATATTAAAATTCTTAATAATTGAATTGTTAGAGTAACCTCAACAATATCATTTTTTTTTTTTTGGGTGATCTTTTACAGTGTCATGTAGGAAAGAGAAGGAAGAGAAAAGAGGAAAAAAAATATTGACAAAAGAAAAAGGTATAGTTATGCACCTAGTTGACACGTGCACTGGACGCGACAATGCGCCTCGCACACAAGTTGTACAGTATCATCATCCAATTTTCCTAATAAGTTGGTCCCATAAAAAATTGTTATTTACAGGAGAAAAATTATCAAAAAAAAAAAAAAAAAAAAAAAAAAAACCCCACATACACCCATTAGTTAGCAAAATCCCTCTAAAATTTACTGTTGTGGATGCACTAAAGAAGTTTTGCAGTTTTAAAAGGTACAAGTATTTAACTTTCATATATAATATACAATCACATATATAATAATTAAATTGTCATACTATCAATATTTATTCATATGATATAAATACTACATATATATATATATATATATATATATATATATATATATATATATATATATATAAGTATATAACTAGTATATTTTACATGTTTGTACCTCGGTGTCAATAGTATAAATTTTATTTTAATGAGAAGTAAAGTTGGAGAAATAAAGGGGAGGAAATGAAATTAATATTTGGATGCAATACAATGGTGCATGGATTAAAGGTTGGTTTGCAGATACCAATTCAATAGTAGACAGTTGGGGTCACGTGGGTTGTTCCATTTACACATCCCCAGGTCACAAACCACCACAAAATCTTTTTTTTTTTTTTTTTTTTTTGAAAAAGAAATAAAGTTAGGGAAATTATTTTGTTGGTCGAATATAGAAATAGCTTCTTATTGTTGATATTACAAGTCATGTCTTACCTTTCGGCCTTATGAATGCAGGCCCGGCCCTGAGCAAGGGCGAGCTGGGCCCTTGCCCAGGGCCCACACTTGAAAGGGGCCCACCTTAGTTCACCGCTCCTTATATATATACTATGATGATTAGATAAGTAATTTATATACATTCCGGTCAAATGAAGTTAACGTAGCTTTGGTGGTTGGAGCTGTGGACCTTAATGTTGATGTCCAGGGGTCGAATTCCCATGACTTGATATATATATATATATATATATATATATTAATATTATTATTGTTATTAACTTTAAAGCTTTTCACCAAGACCAATTTAGGGATATTATATTATATATAGTATTAAAATTATAATATATACAATTTAACTTTCCTTCACTACTCTTTTGAAGATGAATTTAGGAATATTATATAGTACGTATAGAATTTATTTCTATTTCTAATCGTATTTTTTGAGTTGTAACTATGTGACTTTTTTATATTTTTATATTTATAATAGTGAGATTTATAATATAGATTGTTTTGTGATTTAAAACAAGTTTTGAATCTATTTCTATTTGAGTAATTTACTAATATTTAGAACATGTGTTATTTTGTGAACCTTATAATGATTTATGTATATGTAATATATTTTGTGTTTTAGTTATGAAATTATTTTAAAAGATAATTTATTTTTTTATGAATTATCTAATCAATGTTGTTTAGAAGTTCTATTATACATCATTCTATTCAAATTAATCTAAAAAAGACTTGAAATTGATCTAACTAACTAAAAAAAAAATATTTATAAATATGATACCAATAGAGAATATGCATGATTTATAATGTGTTTTCTATTCGAACTATTTTATCTAATTAATCATGTTTCATATTTTGTTATGAATATCATTTCTCACTTTTAAAGTGTTTTTTATTTTTATTTTTTTTTGAATGTTAAAGTGTTTTTTATTTATTGCATCAATAATTAAGATTTCATGTTTTACTCTTATTTGTAAGTTGTGTTTTATAATTTTGATTAATAATTACTTTATTTTTTATTATAATAACAATGTGATTGTCTATAAGTTTATTTGGTTTTAAATTTTTTATCTACTTTTATAAATTAGAATTCTTTATTTATGAAGTCACATATGCAATTATTGAATATTTTGTAATTTTTTTAAGCCAACAAAGGAAATTCATTTATAACTAACCAACACATCTAGAGTTGTTTTCAATATTATTACTCTATATGCAAAATTGTTAAAAACTTGTATATCTTATTTCAAGTTATTTGTAATTAATATACTTTTTATGTAGTTATGCAAATATATATTAATTTTATGTAGGGCCCATTTGTGTTCCTACGCCCCGGGCCTATAAAATGATAGGACCGGCCCTGTATGAATGATACAACTAACTTATTCAATTTTGTCTGCCCTAATACTGTGAAATTTGCAATTTAAATAGGTAGGTTACCACACTTTTAAATAAATAAATAAATAAACATATATGTGTGTGGGGTTAACGAGGCTTGAAGTTATTTTTAATCTAAATTTTCATAATATTAAATTTAGTATTAGTTTATAAAATTTATATATTTAGAAATGACACTAAAAACACTATTAAACACAAAAAATTAAATTTAAACATAAAATAAGAATACTAAAGAAAATAAATTAAGAAAGAGTTGGTTTAACCAATGAATAGTAAGTATGACAGATAAAATGAGACAAAGGGAATATATATTTGTTAGTATAAGACAAACGAAT